AGATAAAAGCATTTTACAGAACTTTTCTTGTAATATTTTAATTATTGGAGTCCTGTTTATAGAGTTTAATTATGTCTATAGTTCTGCTCTGCTCAAGAATTTAATGCCTGTGTGTTCACAGCAAACACAAGAGCCTGTGTGTTTGATGGGAGGTCCAAAAGTCGTGCTGTAGCTAGGTCAGTGTTATTTAAAGAGAGTGTCTTGGGATCTTAAACACATTGTCTCTCACTGCTTTTCCTCCTCCGTCTGACCTTTCTTCTCCATTATCTGACAGACTCAGTTTCACTTTTTCCACCTTTGTGGAGAATTGAGCAAATCTTTAAAACACTGGAAGTGGTGTGAAGATTCTTTAGAAATGATGCAGTTTTATTATTTACCACATTTGAAGCAGCATTGATTCGGAAGTTAAAAAATTAAAGTATGTAATTAAATGACATTTTCTTACACTAACTCTACTTTTCATGTTAACAGAGAAACTGAGATGGTTCCTCATCAGTTCAGCACCTAGACAAACGTGAGCCTGTCTACAACCAGGTCATATTAAATAGTTTTTCATCTAATTAACTGATTTTAAAGAAGTAAGTAAGTAAGTAAGTAAGTAAGTAAGTAAGAAAGAAAGAAAGAAAGAAAGAAAGAAAGAAAGAAAGAAAGACTTTTGACTTTTAAATGATTTATTTTTTTTTACAGATCAACAATCAGCATTAATGACTGAAACTTGTTTCCCCCTAATAAAACCAGGAAAACTGATAAACCAGTTTAGAAGGTGATCTTTAGGGAGCCCTGTCCATCCAGCAGACAGAGCACCTGCCCGATCCCCCACACTGCTCTAAACGAGTCCAGGTTCCCAGTAAGTTCATAAAAAGCGTGTTCGATCTTTAAGCGAGCTTCCACCAGGACCTTCGGGCTCCTCTCAGCATCAGTCCAGCTCTGTCCCAGCATCTGTTTTTTTCTGGTTTTCCAGATGGCTAGTTTTGCACATGCAAATAAAAAGTTAATTAACAATATTGTCCGTTTTTTTCTGACACTGTACTTGGGCCCGAAAACAAATAAGGGTAGGGTAAAAGCCTCCCCCAGTGCACTAACCCACTGTTCTAAAACCTTAAACATCCCTGATAACCTAGAACAAGCTACCACTAGATGCTCTAGGGTCTCTGTTTGGTTACAAAAAGGACATCCCTCCCCGGTGCTTGGATCAAAGCGGGCTCTGTGTCTGTTCGTAGGTAAAGCTCCATGTATAATCCTCCACTGGAGGTCTGCCATCCTTTTTTCCACTGGAGACTTATACAAACTCCTCCAGCTGCCCCCAGGTGCATCGTCCGCATTGTAACGTGAGGAAATATGGGTTTTCTGTGCCAAAGGTTATACTTTGCCCGGCTGGGTCAAAGCTGGGTCGCTGAGAACTTTCACCCACAGATTAAGACCTGAACGCCAGCGAGTCTGGGAGAAACCATAACATCTGAACACCTGCAGTGCCAGAAGATGTGTTCTCATGGAAAAGCTAGTCATAACATAACAAAGTCTTAAACTTCCTTTCCTTTATTTTAAGTTGTTAAAGAATCATTATTATCACTTTGCTCATTATAAATGTGTTTTAATCAAATGAATGATTATTATGCTTTGGGTAATCATAATAACTAATGAGTCAATGCGTAATTAAATAATGTTTGAAGATGTTATAATGACCTTCACACACACACACTCTCTCACAGTAAACTCCAAAACACATCTGCTCTGACGCACAAGTTTTGCTTTGAGAAGAGAAAGGCTTTTGGTAAGTTTTCAGTGCATGATTCAGTTCGGTGTTTGACAACCAAAGAGGGAGGACTTGTGAACAACGCCAATGGGGAACGGGGCTGCGGCTCCTTTCTCCCCCCTCACGCTGTTCCTGCCAAGCCAGACAGGATAGCTGAATTACAACTGCTAACGCAGACTCGTCCAGAGTCTTTGATTTTCTGAGTAATTAAACTTAAGAAATCGCATCTGCAAATGCTTTATCATCAACGTGTACCAGGTGGCATCTCTGGACCGGATCGGCGGACACCTTCGTCTTCTCTGCCAGCCGAGGTGCCCTGGATGAAACATTGTCCTTTGACGTTCCGGATCTGAACGAGGGTCCTCATATGGCAGAACACAATAGATAGCATTTGATGCATCTTTTCCAACAAAACCTAAGTTTATTCAAACCATCACTTTTCACTCAGACACCTGTTTCTTCCTGAAGCAAATCAGACGCACCCACGCATTCATCTCACCTCATTTTCAATTTTCACACATTCAACACAAGGTCTATTTGAGCAAGTTTACAATATCAACTGTTAAAGATTGTTCAACAAAGTTGCCAATGTTGATTGTTGTTTCCTATGCTTGTCATTTCAAAATCATTAGTTTAATTTGAAGAATTAAATCTTTTAACTTTCAAACTTGTTTCTTCATTGAACTGAAACACAGACCCACGGATATTATCGACAGTTTATCGATGAAAACAACCTTTGAGTCTCCTTAAGACTATAAAATTTGGTTATTAATTTATTACAAATTAATATCACAAATTAAAATGTAGGATGGTTCCTCTTTCATAAAAAAGCATAAACCATTACCCTACATAATTGGCAGAGCCTAATCAGGTTCACTACAGCATCAAACACCTGAGTCCACCTCGACTCCTTGACTCCTAACAAGGAGCGCCTATTGATAACCTTCACACAAGTTTGATAGAGCTGTTTCTTCCCACAAGACTGGAAGGAGCCCAACACTGGAGTGTTCGGGTTCAGCAGTAATCCACTCTCCTCCTGCCATCCCTCACCAGCTGCTTTAACCTCCAGAGATGGAAAAACATACTCACTGTCATCATCCCATTGGTCGGATGGGATAAATTCAGAAAGAAAGAAAGAAAGAAAGAAAGAAAGAAAGCAAGAAAGAAAGAAAGAAAGAAAGAAAGAAAGAAAGAAAGAAAGAAAGCAAGAAAGAAAGAAAGAAAGAAAGAAAGAAAATAATCTTTTCTAAAGCACCTCTCAAGATAAAAATCACAAGGTGCTTCAAAAAACAAACAAAAAATGTAAGTATAATAAAGATTTCAAAAAATGATCAGGAAGATGTTTAAAATGAGAAAACATAAAAATTGTGATAAAAAATGTAAGGAAGGGGAGAGAAAATGAAGAGAAAAGAGCAAAATCAGTGGATTCCGGGAAAGGTGGAATAAGAACAGAATAAGGAGAGGGTGGTGATGAAGGTCACGCAAAAGCGAGCTTGAACATGTAGTTTTCAGTTGCTTTTTGAAGGAGACCACTGAGTATTTCAAAAACATTTTTTTATAATTTTTGAAAATGATTGGTCATTCTGAGTTTAACATGCAGGGTGGACATGAAAATAGTCTCCTACACCTATCTCACGCATTAGATTCTGATAGAAAATAGACAGAGAATCTCTAGGATTTGAAAAGCCTGACAGATGTACATCACACTGTCGCTTGGCCTCACCCATCTTGATTCACAACCTTTTGGCTAGAAGAAGCTAACCATTAGCTTTAGCAACTCCACCACCTAGCAGAACTCCTTCAGGCTTGTGTTATTTGTGGAGAAATAGAGTCAGTGTTACTGTTATCCAATCAGAAGTGAGATGTCCAAATATCAGAAAAAAAAGACTCCAAATCCTGCCGTCTGAAGCGACTTTCTCATCTGGCTGAATTCTCCATGCAACAGGCGCATCTACTAGCCCCGCCCCCACCCACCCGTATGACTTACAAGGCATTTATTCCTACTAGAGACCACTGCAAATGTATTAGAAATTTGAGTGAATGTCTTCTTTAAAATAATTCTGATGTTTAAGAATTGCTTGATTGTCTTATAACTGAGTTTGTTTATAAAGTCTTAAATTACAATAAATAAATAAAAATCCTACATGAAAATGTTAATTCATTCTGTTACATGCCTTTGTAAACTGAGGGAGTTTGTTAGACTAGCACTTAGTTGAGTCACAGAAAACAATATAATGAGAATAGGGGGCTGCATGGGTGGTAGCACCGTTGCCTTGCAGGGTGGATGGGTTTTCTCTTGGTGACAACTTCCTCCCAAAGACCAAAATCTTGCTTATTCAGGATAATAGGTGACTAGATATGAGTGAGTGTGAGAATGGCTGAATTTCTGTTCGTCTTTAAATGTGGCCCTGCGATGAACGGGTGACCCCGCATCTCCTGTGGTGATTGCTGGAGATAGGCATCAGCTCCCTGCAACTGTATTCAGGAATGAATGGTGCAGAAAATAAGTGAGTGTATAAAAATATTAGTTACATTAACTTGCATGATTGCACAGTTAATGTCTGTTTTATTCTACCCACAGGAAGATTGAAACTGCAAATGTGTTTTACAGAAAAGACCGGATAAGCTTCCTCTTGTGGTTTGAGAAGCGTTTAAAGCAGCAGAAAGATTGATTTAAGTGTTTGCTCGAAATCTTTTCAAAGATGGAGCAAAAATAACACACCTGAGGGTAAATCCAGAAATTAGGAGATAAAATGTGATGTTGAGTTGAGTGCAAAGTGGTACCTCTCAAAACTGGAAGCTGTATTTATTTTGATTGCTGAGACGAGCTGAGATGAGCTTATCAAAGGTAAATAATTAACTGCTTTTTTTGGGTGAGGGTTGGCAGAAAATGCTTTAGCAATCATTCAAAATCATTCTCTTCATGGTTTAATTTTGCTGTCTCTTCAATTTATCTAAACTGAAACATCTTATTACGTTGAAATCAGATCTGCTAGTTTTCTGAAGCAATCTCATTCTTTCAAATACAAACTTATGTTTTTAAAGTAATAAATTGTCTTTTACACTAAGTTTTAGTTCTTTTGTTTGCTTCCACTAAAAGGTGAATCAGATCTACAAATATTACCACAAATAACAAAAGGTCAAATAATTTATTATTTTCAATAATAATATATGATTCATTACCAGCCTAAGGCTGACCTCAATGTACTTTTGAGTCTAAGTTTGGCCCTGATGAGGCTGAACTTACTGAGGCAGGTGTTGTGTGTGAAGTCGCGGTGGAAGGCATCACATTCCTGCTCCTGATGGCCAGAGCTCCTGCAGCTGCACCAGAGGCTGATGGTGATGTTGGTGGGGCTGTTGTCACTGTAGTTTGGTGTCACATCTGAGCCTGAAATAAAACAATGGGAGGAAAAAACTGAGAATAATGTTAAAGTGAAGATTATCTAGGGAGAAGTTCACGAAGGACTTGTGGATATTTCCAGAGCAGAAATGAGTCACCAGATTGTTCCTCCAACTAAATATTTAAATAATGCTTATGGAAGATGTAAAAGACAGCTAAACAAATTTAATACAAAGGATTTTATACATTAATAGCGTAATCTGGGTCCAAAGTCCTCTTTCTATCTTTGCAACAGTTTCCCATCACTTATCCAATTTTGGGTGGCATAGGTAAGCGGTCGAGGAGGAAAACCTGGACAACTCTCCCAAGCTCCCCAAGGTTGACTCAGACAAGAGAGGATGCATAACACCACCAACCCCACCAGCCATGTGAGCTTTGGGTCTGTCCTGGGGTCACTCCATAGTCTCAGAACACCTGCAGAGGAAGCATGAGTCATCCTAATCAAATGTCGTCTTGATGCTGAGGAACAGCAGCTCTATGCCGAGCTTCCCTAAGTCTGACCTACTCACTTTATCTCTAAGGCCAAGCCTGGCAACCCAACAGAGAAGGCTTGTATCTGGAATTTTCTTTATTCTTTCACAATCTAAATCTGCTGAATGAGAGTTGAAATACAGGTGGCCTGGTAAATCAGGAGCTTGCCTTTCACTTTAGCTCTTCTCCATAACAGACCGAGGCACGTGTCTTTATCACCATAGATTAAGTCTCGATCCTTTCATCCATCTCTTGTTCCATCCTACAAACAATAGCAATCAAGTCATCAATATGCCTATGTCCTCTTGAAGCAGACACTCATTGAAACCCCAAAAGCAATAGTCCAGTTTTTACTAGTCTAGAAAAACTGATTCTCATCTCACACTCAACTGTGAACCACCCCAGTAAAGATTGCGGCTTTAAGACACAAACAGAACTACGTCATGTCCAAAAGGAGAGATCATCCATTTGGGGTCCCTTGACCACAGCCTCTCCATAAAACACTTTGAGCTCCATGAACACATAAAACAAGGTCAGAGACAAGGGGCAGCCCTGGTGGAGCCAAGCTCATAGAGGGAACAAGCCAAACTAACTCTAACCAACACAGAAACAGCTTTTGCTTCAGTTGTACCCCTGACCCCATACTCCAACAGAACTGCCACTTCCCACACATAAAGAGACCCGTGATCTGTGCACAAGCTAAAATGAGTAAAAATCTGTCTCTCTAATTACTGGCTAATCACTCAAAGATTTCCTACACAGATAAATGTTTCATAGGCTGCTGTTTGATGATTAGTTCAGGTCAGACTACTGCCATGCTGTTTCATATTTGACAACAGCAACACACAGATTCCAGCTGTCTGTCAGACGTACCGATGAGGCCGACATAGGACATGAGGCAGCCGTTGTAGTTGTCATAAGGGCAGCTGGTGACAGTATGAGGCGTCATCTGGCAGTTCATGTGGAAATCAGCGAGCCGAGACCTACAACAGCACAGCAAAAAGATACCAGTGTACATCCCAGAACCCATAAGAGCAAAAATATCCTATCTTATGACTCCACTTCCAGATCGGCTGATGTTGGCAACATTTCACTGTAAGTAAAAAAATAAAACAGCATGTAAAGTACACAAAATAAACTGTTTCAATATTCATGGTCTTTTTATGCTCTAACCAGGTAAAATTGGGACTGAAACTAAACAAAAGTCATTTTATGCATGCACACATGCCAGCTGTGCATTCTTTAAGTTCCCAGCACATTTTTATATTGTCTTTCATCAGAAGATTTTTTCCTTCTGCAAACGTGTCAAACCCGAGAACCCAGCATGTGGTATGTTCCATGGGGATTTTCCTTCATGCAAACCTCAAACATTTTCTATTTAAAGTATATAAAATATAATTATCATTATTTATACTTAAAGCTTTCACCTTTTAAATTGTCTTTAATGATGGCTTTTTATTTTTTTATCTGCTGTAATCCTGCTCCCAGCTTCCACCCCTCCTCTGTTTTATTTAATCTAGTCTTAGCCCTTAAGCTAGCTGCTATTGGAAGGATGATCTCAGCATCAGCCAATCATGAAGAGCTTGAATGTACGCCCACCAATGGTGGGCACCCCTGTGAGTATATAAGTGGAGCGACTCCACTGTTCGCCTCCGTTATCTCTTCAAGTCAAGCTTAAGAGCTTCCTTTAAAGAGCAATTATCCAAGAAGCATTCTCCTACAATGTCCAGCGATGCCAGAACCTACCCGGCCTGCAAGACGGGCTCCATCTCCAGCGGCAACCTGCACGCCAAGTGTGAGGTCTGTCTCGGGGCTCATCACGCCGGCCTGGCCTTGACCCCACAGGCCTCGTGCCCGTTTTGTGCCGCTCTGCCCGTGGCTGAAAAGATCCGCCGGGTCAAGTACTTCACCCCCGCCGCCGACAAGGAATTTCCGGTGGCTGACACATACTCGCTGGACAAGGCCTTACAGTTCTTCAACGATGGCCAGGAGCCGGCTGGCTTCAACCAACTGGACAAAGTCATCGACAGTGAGGAGTAAGACGAGGCTGGCTGCCATAGCCCTTTTTCCCTCCTGGACAACACGGAGGTCGACGAGCCTCGCTCAGCGGGTCCTTCTGCTCCAGTGACGTCTCGCTCCTCCCTGCCAGCAGTTTGAGCACTGCTCCAGGAGCTGCCTGCCATCATCTCCGTGGCTGCGGTCCGCAAGGGGCTAGCCGTGCCAGAACCGGCTCCGCCTGAAGCAGATGATTTGGCGGGAATTTTCGGGGCAACACAGATGCGCTGTCCGGACCCCATCCGGCCGTGCTTCCCTGCTGCCATGAGCTGCTGGTCCGCCGCCTTCTCCGAACCTCCTAAGCTCATGGCGCCAATTTCCACATATGCGCCCATTACCAAGGTCGAGGGCTTCTCCAACCAAGGCTGGCCTTCCGTTCCTCCACTGGAGCCGGACTTGGCCTCGCTGTTTGGTGCCAAGAACCACCTCGCTAGCCCGCGAGCAGTTCCCGCTTCTAAGCATGACCAGCTGCTGACGCGGCTCACCGATCGCGCACACCAGTGCGCCTTCCAGACCGGCGCTGCAGGAAATAACATCGCCCTTCTTGCCTTTGGCGTTTGCAAAATGGTGGAAGAGCTTGACGCTCCTGACGAGTCAAAAACCATCGTTACTAAAACTGCTGATGCCATTCTCAATCTGTGCGCTGCTGTACTCACCGGTTCTGCTCGCATTGCTGCCCGGCAGACCCTTATCCAGCGGGCCTTGTGGCTCAAAGCTCTGCCCTCCATTCCTGAACGCCTGCACAGGGAGATGCTGGAAGGCCCCATCACCTCTGACGTTCTGTTTGGTCCCCATCTTAGGAGCGTCATCGAGAGGGCTCAGAAGACAGCTGAACTGTCAGCCACGGTGCAATACCTGGTCCACCCTCGGTCAGCCTTGCACTCCGGCCTTTCCTCCAGAGGATGGGACGAATGGCACGGAAACTTCAGGCGCCCATCTGCACCGCCCGCCCCATGGAGCCGGCCTCCCGCTTCGGCTCCACCTCAGCGGGACCAGAGAGTTGGCGGCCAACGGTTTCGAAAGAGCCAGCAGACACCGTCTTGGCAGTCACAGTCGCAGGAACCTCGCCGAAAGCAACCACAAAAATCACTCGTTGGGGGGAATGTGTGTGCTTATGACTGTAATAACTCTGTGAATGATGTTGGTTTTGAAATAAAACCCAAAAGACGTCACTTAGAGAGCACAATCCTACAGGCCTCTGCAGAATCCTCTGCCGAATCCTCACATATGTTCCCCACACCAAGCACTGCGACACATCTGCATGTTCCCGCAGTCAGTCATATTACACGGCCAGCTGTAAGGGTGCGTTCCATTTGCGCACCGGCCCTAGCTTCCAGCCAGGCCCAACACATTCCGCTTTCCCCACAACGTTGGGTGGGACGGGATGTCATGGCGCTGTCGCGACCACGCACGGCGACACAGTGCGCGGCTCCATCCGCTGGCACGTTGTCATCCCCATGCCCGGGCCTGGCTCCCACTCATCCTTTAACTTTGGACTCAACGCTCCGCGGTGCGGATCAGCCTCTTCGAGCTGTTTCACAGTCGCCCTTTCGAGCACAGCCCTCCATGGGTCGCTCCCAGTTCGCTGGTGCAAGCGACGGCGGTAAAGGGTGCGAACCCAGTCCTCAGACGTCGTTCACGTGACCTCAAACACACGTCCGCTGTTGGAATGCACGCAAAAATGGCGCCGCCTTTGTCTCATGAGCAAATGGATATCGGAGACCATTCATTGCGGTCACACATTCCATTTTCAGTCCGCTCCTCCTCCCTTCAACAGGATCATGGAGACGACATTCACGTCACAGGAACAATCTCAGGCCCTGGAGCTGGAGCTGTGGGAACTTCTGTCTAAGGACGCAATTTTCCAAGTCCCTCGTGGACAAGAGCTCTCAGGCTTCTAGTCCCGCTACTTCGTGGTACCGAAGAAGTCGGGAGGAATGAGACCAATTCTCGACCTTTCCCTGTTCAACTGCTCCATAGCAGTGATGCATTTCCGCATGTTAACAATGAGGCAAGTCCTAGAATACATGTGCTCCGGGGACTGGTTCACGTCAATAGACCTGAAAGATGCAAACTTCCGCATCCCAGTAATTCCCAAATACCGGAAGTTCCTGCGCTTTTCATTCAAGGGAGTTCAATACCAGTTAAATCATCTCCCTTTCGGCTACTCGCTAGCCCCGCGCACCTTCCCCAAATGTCTGGAGACGGCCCTGCAGCCATTGCACACGGCGGGAATGAGGGTTTTCTTTTACCTGGACGATCTGCTCCTATGCGCCCGGTCCAAGGACGAGGCGTCAGAGAAAACCAGGAAGTTAATAGAGCATCTGTCAACCCTGGGGTTTTCCATAAACTGGGAAAAGAGCTCCATCCTTCCATCCCAGTCGATTGTGTTTCTCGGGCTGGAGCTGAACGCCTCCCTAATGAGAGCATGTTTGACTCCGGCGAGAGCGGCAAATCTCACCATGGTGGTCTCCCACGTGCAACCCCGCAAGATTGTGAGAGCCCTGTTAGTCATGAAACTTCTGGGCATGATGGCTGCAGCCCACACTGTGGTGCCGTTAGGTTTACTGCACACGAGATGCCTACAGCGTTCGTTCACCTGTCTCCGGGTACACCCGATATGTCAGAAGAGACGTATGTTGAGGGTTCCCCCTTCAGTGGGCGGGGGCCTCGCTCACTGGGGGAATCCCTGCATCCTCTCACACGGGGTCCCCATCGGATGTCCTACGTCACACGTATCTGTGTTTACGGATGCGTCATTGTTGGGTTGGGGGGGCACTTGCTTGTCCCATACTGTGGCAGATTGCTGGCCCTCCCACACGCACAAGCACATAAATGTGTTGGAGCTTATGACAGTGAGGAATGTGATCAGACACTTCGCTGCCCTTCTCGAGGGCCGTCATGTCGAAGTTCACACAGACAACCAGGTGGCGGCAGCCTACATAAATCGCCAAGGGGGAGTTTGATTCCTCCCACTATTGTGCGTAGCCACAGATTTAGTGTGTTGGGCACATGTCCACCTGCTGTCCATCAAAGCCACCTACATTCAGGGGGTCCTGATTGTGGCAGCAGACATCCTGTCGAGAGGGGGACTCCGCGACTCTGACTGGTGTCTGCATCCTGCACTGATATCACAGCTATGGATCAAGTTCGGGGAACCCTCTGTGGATCTGTTTGCGGCTCGCAAAAACGCTCAGTGTCGCCTGTGGTTTTCCCTGAGTCCCCGGGACCACCCCCCACTCAGAACGGATGCCTTCTCACACCAGCCCTGGCCTCAGACGCTCCTGTATGCGTTTCCACCAGTTCCACTGATCCCCCGTCTCCTGGACCGAGTTCGGTCGGAACAGCTCTCGGTAATTCTGGTAGCTCCCAGACGCTTGTCCGCGTCATGGTTTCCAGATCTGCAAGCGCCAGTGTCCGGCTCCCCGTGGAGGGCAGACGCCCTTCTCCAGGTGGATGGGATAATCAAACATCCTCCAGAAATAGGCCAACGGCTGTGGGTCTGGCCGCTGAGCGGTCACGCTTAGAGGCTTCTGGAATGCCGCATGATGTGGTCGCCACGATTCAGAGTGCGCGGGCACCTTCTACCGTCACATCTTATGCTGCTAAATGGGCAGCTTTCCAGAAATGGTGCACAGAGCGGAATGTTCAAGCGCTCTCCTGCCAGCTGGCGGATGTCCTATCATTTCTGCAGATGCTGATGGACAGGGGCCTCACATTTAGCACTATTAAAACATATGCTGCAGCTATCTCATCCTGTCACCAGGGTTTTGGGTATAGGTCTGTTTTCAATCATCCCCTCACAAAACATTTTCTAAAAGGTGTCAGAAGGAACAAACCTGTGTCCCGCCCGCTATTCCCCCAGTGGGACCTAACGGAGGTTCTGCGCGGCTTATCTGAAGCCCCATTTGAACCCTTGGACCAGGTC